AAGCTACCCGACATTAGAGAACAACGAGGTAAGTCTTGTTTCACCAGACTTTCAGCACTGTCCGTTCTTTTTTCTCCGCCTTGATGGTCTCCGCAGACCACTGGAGCGACCTTACGAAGGTCCTTTTATCGTTCTGCAGGGTAAGGACCGTGTCTTTATCACCGACCGTCACGGTAAACGAGGAGCCGTTACGATTGACCGTCTCAAGGTTGATTGCCTCCGTGGAACCTGAGCTCGATGAAGACCCTTGCTCGTTTTTCTGACGAATCAACCCAGCCAATGATAGAACACTTGTCTGCTTCCAACACCCCTGACCTCAAGCATCACCATCCATCCGAGCGTTCCACTTCAGCTCCGCCGCTACCCTTCGAACCAACCGCCATCTTCAGCATTTCCTATAACTGTGATCCGATAGAACATCTAAGAGGACGCCTTCCTCCTATCCGCATAAGTCGACTAAGTCGGGTAGGCGCGTTCATGGGCCAGCGCGATTAAGGGATTAGTATTCCTTCCACTTTTCTTTTCTCACTTTCCCTTTCCCTTTTGGCCAACAAAGTACTAAACGCCAAAAAAACGAGAACGCTTTTAAACCCCAAGAAGAACGCAAAACGTTCTGAAACTCCAAAAAAGAAAATGTTTTTAAAACACAAAAGGGTTGCGTTTTGCTTGACACCCACCGTATCCGGTAAGTGTCACTTGCTTTTGCTCTTGCTACCACCCTCACTGCTCTTGTTTCCGTTTATCTTCTAACTATGAACCGGAGGAGATGACGAGTCTGAAGCGAACATTTGACGCTTACGAACTTTCCCCCCATTTTGTTTTTGGCACCTTTAGGGTGGTAGCACGCTAGGGTCCGATCACCTGGTTCCTCCCCAGCAGCTGCATCAGGTTTCACTACCTGGTCTCGCAGAAGGCTGGCCGGCGACGGACAGTTCTCACGTGAATCGAAGGGTCACCCACATTTTATCTACTAGGTGGGGGGCTGTGTAGTGACCTCAGACTAAATTACTCTAAAATATATTAAAATTATAGCTTCCTTATGTATTAGGGAATTAGGCGGTTTGCCTGTTGGAACGTCGTTCCCGTTTGTTTGAAATACGAATACGATATCCGCCTTTGGCGCGCGCGACTCGACTGCGAACGACACCCGGTCCACGCACTCAACGCCCAACTACATTCTCCCTAGCTAGCTCTCATCTGGTGCCCTATTTTTAGCCGTAACTAGCTCTTCTCTCGTCAATAAACCTTTTCCCTAGCTTATTTTTGTGTGTTTTACCGTACGCTCACGGTTGGTCGTTAGTCTCGTACGGAATACATAACGCACGATCAGCGCGCTGTAGTATCACCTTTGGTGGTCACATCACTGAGGAAGTTAGTTCGCGTATCAGCAAGGCTCCTGTGGTTTCCCGGAAACCTAACCCTCTACGGAGACTGCGGTATATTAGCCTGTCTTTGTATGGTATGGTGTATAGTTTGTGATTAGGTCTGTCGTACTGTATGGATCAGAGAAATGGCTAGTTTACAGTGAAGGCATTAAGCGCTTGGCCGTGTTTGACCATCAGTGCTTGATAAGTATTACTCACATCTGGTGGGGGCACCGGATGAGCAATGCTGAGGTCCGCCATTTGGTTTTTGGCAAGAAGCCTTTTGTGCCTCTCTCGAGTAATTGTAATGTTTTCGTCCCAGCTGCTCACAAGCTACGTAGCACAGCCTAGTCCGGAAAAGTGCCAGGCGCCTTTCGCCTTATTGGTTCTCGTCAATGGTGTGCATTCGCTCGGTCCCCTACTGGGGATCGAACCCATGAAAATCACAATTAAAAGTCCTGCTACTCATTAGTAATATAACTTATAGCCTCTCCTAGTTTCAGATGCCCTGGACGTAGCATCTAGTGAGAGGAAATCATGACCTTCGGAGCTTAGCCACTGTCATCTGTAATAATCTGCGTGGTAATAGAAGATAGGTCGTGCTATATTCCAGTTAGCTTGCAAATTGTGTAGCCCACCTGACGTCTTCCATGGCTCAGTGGCTTAAGCTGCTAACTAGTTGGCATCTGCCTCTAGCGGTCACGCGTTCGATCTCCAGTAGGGAACCGAGGGAATGTGCACCACTGACGAGCCCCAATAGGGCGAAACACGTCTGGTGCTTATCCGGACTAGGCTGTGCTATGTAATTTGTGAGCAGCTGGGACGAAAACATTACAATTACAATTAAAATAGCGTCTCTCGAGTGTTTGCTACATCTTTGTCGCTTGCGTTGCCTGGGCCGTTCTCCGTATACCCGTTGATCGGCGTCTTCGGCGTTCATTATGCACCGTTGCTGCACCAAGTTGGATAAAACCGCGATGGAGCCAATCCATGACGTGGCATATAGGCATGAAGAAATTAACCGAGGGACTTGCTCAAGTTGGTACATGCTATTTTCCTGGATGTGGTCTCGGGATGGTCCACACCAATGGTTGGCGACCCTGTCAGTCATGAAGTTAGCGGCGTTCTTGTATTCGGTTTCTTTCATCTAACCGTTAATTTTCTATCCATGTGATTATACTAACGCATTTCCTTCTTGCTTCTATTTTCTCTACATTCTATTTACATCCAAACCCACTATCCTACCGTCATTATTTATTGTTATTCTTACAATATGAATTGTGACAACTGGATCCACCACACTTCGTTGCTCGGGTCATAGTCGTTCAATTGAACTAAATTGAACCGCTGGAGATATTGAAGGGTGGTGACAGTTTGACATAAACTCTCACTCTGCCTAACTGTGCGTATAAAGCGCTCTTATAATCTTTACGTATTTTTCAGTCACACCTATCTTGAGTATACAGTCACAAAGAACATATCGATCCACTGAATCATAGGCACTTTTGATATCGAGGAACACGACTACGGTGGATCGCTGGTAAATGTGGTGGTGCTTCAACAACTGATGTAATGTGAAGATGTGATCAATACATCCGAAACAGCCGGCTTGTTCTTCACGAATCTGACATTCACGGGTACCAGTCAGTCTTTGAAGAACCACAGAGGCGAGTATCTTAGAGGCAATTGAAATCGGATTGATTCTTCTAAGATTGCCGCATTCTGGACGGGGGCCTCCTTTGAAAATTGGGACTATATCAGAGCGGCTCCAGTCTGTTGAGACAGTTTCCTGCTCCCTTAACTTCACAGGTAAGTTATGCAGATCATCTACAATAACAGATCTCCCGAATTTGAAGAGAGCTGAAGGAATTCTATCTGCTTTTTTGACGTTATTCACTTTCAACAATCTGCTTTCACATCGGACTTCTGCACGTGGTGGGTCCAAGGGGACGTCCCAGGGAGAAGGGCGAAGATACTGCCAAGGAGCAAGGGACACTTGATCTGCTGCATGATTGGTCAGTCAAGTAGCAAATGCCTATCAATCGTGTTAAGTGCTGTACCATCGCAATAGGTGCTCCAGAACCTTTCGGCGCCTACCACATTGGTGGTTTCCTGCTGAATAATGCGACTCGCGAGAAGGATCTGGGTATAATCGTATCCGCAGACCTGAGAACTATCCAGGACACGTTGCGGAGAATAGCTTCTTCCAACAGGATGTCATACGAAGATCATTCTCCTAAATGACGCTTGGATCCTTCAAGCTCCTTTTTTATCCCATGTTTGTCCCATACTTGGATCTGGAATAGTTGCCATGCACACACTCACGTGGTTTGTATTTGCTTTACTCGTGACGGTTCCGAATCTAGGACCCAAGTATGTGTTAGTGCTGCGTGTTTAACTTAGCCCCTTCGGCTTCAGCATGTTGTTTTCCCTAGACCACCGTCATCACCGTAGGGATCTGATTTACACTAGGCGCATTCTATTTGGTTATTTGGGGAAGGAGGTGCAACAATTCTCTCAGCTCAGTGTAGATTGTTCGACAGGGGGCCACAGTTGTAGACATTTTAAACCACGGACGCACCACGTCCGGTCCGATATCGCCTTATCCACTGGGCTCGTGAGTGAATGGAGCAACCTCCCTGAGTGCATGTTAAGTGTCCAGACAGGAATGTTTCAAACAACAGTTGAATAAACAAATACTGAGCTCTCCTGGATTTCACTGTTTTTGCTACAGCTGTAAGGATCCCTCGAGGCACACAGTTCAGCAACGACAAGCGTCATCCAGCAAATGAACGGGAAGTGATGAAGCTGACAGCAATTCTCCATCCTGCTCTCTACAACTATGAACTCTTTACCTTCTCATTTCGATCACAGTCATCATTCGTATATGTTATCTTCGGCCTTATTCTATGCCTACATTTTCCCTCTCTTGCGTGCTTCACACAACGAGCACAGTAGGCATTGCTAGCACATGAAACATGGGCAGTTATTAGTTGATCGGGGTGTGGTTCGGGTGTTTCGGTTTTGCTTCACCATGACCTCGGAGAACCTTATCAACTGGCTCAGCATCCCACAAGTGAGAGCACTCACGGGATTCTCCTATGGTTCCAGACCCTCCTGAACTTCAGCCATTCAATTCAGGCCTGATCCCTTTGGTAACTGTGACAGCGGCATCCAGCTCGCCACGAGGTGTTAGCCAGGCGCACCTTACATCCAGTGCTGTTTCTTACTAGGCAGTTGTAATAATTTCGTCCAATCGCCTACGAGGTATTTGTTTTCCTTGCAGCCTCAGGTCTATTACGACCTGTGTGACGCATCGGACACGGAAGTCGTCAGGATTCTCGACCGGACACATTACACTATTTGTGGCAGGCTAAAGTATAGCGGAGCAACAGGTAAGTTATCGTCGTGGCTCGCCCGGGTGGCTATCGTTTTTTCCTCTTTGCATTCCGACTTCCTTTTTCATGCTATTAGAGCGGGTATCTCCCGTTCTTGTTCAAACCATCCATTCACGTCAGGATCGACATCCAGCTTGCCACGAGGTGTTAATCAGGCGATTTTCCGTTCACTGTCTCTTACCAGGTGGTTGTGATGAAACTATCCAACCGCCAACAATGTTTTTGTTTTATATTTCAGCCCCCAGGTCTATTTAGACCTACGCACACGTCGGACACGGAAACCTTCGGGATCTTCCCTCTTACTTATACTACGCTGCTCCCTCACTACTGGATTCCCCCAACTTATTCGTCGTCCTTGCTACAACTCCCATTCAGGCGATTAGCTGTAGTTAAATTAGTCTAACGTCGAACGGCCGCAACATTTCTCGGTACGTTTTCTATCTTGACGCTTGATGTTTTATTAGATTTAATTCGTTCCCGTTTACTGAAACGAATCCTCCGGGGAAGTGCTCCGGCAATTTTACCGGGACTCAAGATTTCGATGTTGATACTGAACCCGATAAAAGGGAATTTACCTGCTCCTGGTCTTCTGCCCCACAACCGGGCACCTTTGTGTGGATTAGATACGCTGGCAACATAAGTTATGGTCGCTTGGTCCACTGCATGCCAGAGCTCAATATGTTCACCGTACGTCCCGAGGATGGAGGCCTCAGACGTCTCGTTACTCGTGGGATCGAGGATATTCTACCGGCCAGTAGTAAACGGGCTTCAATGTCTCCACCCGATGAGCTGCAATGGGAAACAACTTCAAAGTGTTACTGTCCTGTTTGCACAACGGGGTCGAATAGCCAATGCCGGAATTACTATTCAAGTAACATAAGATCCTCTTCCTCCCTCAGGGCGCCGTTATTTATTGATGCAGATAATGAGCTTTCCTCTCGGTGAGTGGTAATCGCTCGTAATTTCTTGTCGACCACTGGCACATGCATTACTTTTCAATGAAGCTATTGAAATTATGCATAATGCAATCGCTGTTCATGAATCACCTGAAGCTGTTCCCCTGTTGGAACGACGTGACTGGAAAGTTTCATGAATACTCGTAGCTCGGGGGCGGATGAGGATGTGTTGTTCTCCAGTCTGGAAGTTTTGGCTGCAGACCTTTTATTGTCGGCATACACAAAGTCATAGGTGCGGCTCGCAGGACATGACTACCATTTCTCCGTGAGTCACGGAAATCCGATTGACTTAATTGACTCTTGATTAATTCCTGCTTTGGATGTTAGCCTTCGACGAACTCACGTAAATTGGCCGAATAACCACCCTTTCTGTTCTACTGATCACATGTAGATTGCGGACCTAGTCTGCAGAAGTTCGTAGATACCTTCTGATGTCAAGCATTTACTAATTGAGCTCTTACCGGACTACCAGGCTTCGGTGCATTTACACTCTGCAGCTTCTTGATTTTCCAATTATTATGATGTTGGCTAGATCAAACTGATCACCCTTAGTGTCCATATATACTTGCATCAATGGTATCGCGTTCGCAGATGGATAGACTGTGTTCGTGTAGTCTCGTACTAAGTTTCCTTGCTTTCTGTCCCACGTAGTGTTTATTAAGTTAGCAGCAAATTTGTTAATCGCGTCCACTGTTTTTCCTTACTCAGCTTACTGCTTATTCTGCAAAGTTTGTTTCGAACCGTTTCTGTTACTTTGTGCGTACCTTTTATTCCAAAAAATATTAACAGCCTCGCTACCATCCCAGACTTTATAGCTGTAAGGTAGGGTAATCGTTCTCTTTTGCAGTTGCGCATGTGAATTGTGATGGGTCCTTAGGCGTTAGGAAGCGCAGCTGAGATAACTTAATTCATGTCTATTACTTTTTTATTGCGACAACGAACGTGCCAGGTCGCCGACTCAAGGCTGCATGTTACGGGGAGCCATCTTACAGCCAGATTTCAAACCGGGAGCCATGGCGCAAAATTGAATCGATGTACCTTTGAAGATTGAACTCATGCAGAGGTCAAACACGAATCTGTGTAGGGTCAGTCTCACCTTGAACCCTGAACTTGAACCACTTTAATGGTAATTAGCATTTCCGATGTTTTGTTTAATAGCCGTCTTCAATCTGTTTATTTTGCTATGCTTTAATGCACAAGAGCCCTCCATCCTGGCTGGTATGTGGTATTTTATTCTCGTCGCGTGTTGAGTAGACGAGGCGGCACAACACTGCTCAAGTGTGGTGACCTCGCAGCATCTCCAGCCCGCATGAGGCAGTTGGTTGGTGCATGAGAGCAAAGCGTCGGTGCGAAATACCGGTATACTGCTAGTACCACACCTTTGGCCTGCATCCGTCGTTTATATTCATAGCGAGCGATTGAGAACCTAGTGCACCGACAGCCGACTACTTCATAGGTTCCTTTCTCCTCGATAGGAGTTCACTCTTCTCTAGCTGAAAAGATACATTGTATAAATATAACAATCTGTGATACAGCTATTGTGCCATCAGAATCATGATGGAATAAAAAAGCAGGATGGAAATAGGAAAAAAAGAGATGCACCATTTTTTCACTAGTTTTCCCTCACAATTTTTGGGCTTTTTAATATTTTGTTTTATTGGGGAAGGGAAAGGAAATCACCGCAACACGCACAGATGCACGTCCGCCATTGACGTCGATCTTGAGCTATGACTTCCAGGGTCTCTAACCAGCGGCACTGTATCTCTGAAATCCCAACCGGCGAGTCGATAACAACCGACCAAGGCCAAGTGTTTCATCATCTTTTTCATGTTGCCTCTCCACCGCGCCGTCTCTTCCAGTCCTGTCCAGCAACCGCGAACAACGCCCGTCACGGAAGACAATGAACGGGTATGCGCAGTACGTGTGCAAGCCACCGCAGCTGACGCAGCGGAACAAGATTCTTGAGCGAGTGGATGCTCCCACCCAAGACACGCTGTGTAACTTCCACATTGGTTGCGTGGTGCAGCCACCACACACGAGCAATGGACTGCAAACAACGGTGGTCAAAGACAGAGAGACGGTGCAGGTTAGCGGTACGAACAGGGCAAGTCTCACAACCATACAGCAGTACAGCGCGGACAGCCGCACAACCCGCTTTTTGATGGATAGACGGAGATCATGGCGGTGCCACAAGTTTCTCAGCTTAGAGAAAGCGAGGTGAGCTCTTGAGATACGCGTCGAGATCTCGTCTCCAACAGCTCTCCCGGCTGTGATGCAATTTCCCAGGTAGGCAAAAGTCCATAACCTCTAGTGTCTCACCATGGAGAGTAAGGGCAGGTACAGGCATCCGAAAGTGTTGGAAAAGCGTTTTGCACTTGGATGGGGGAAATGCGATTCCAAAGGACAAGGCGTGTGCTATATTATCCAACGTTCACCGGTAGATTCGGGGACCTCGCAATATACCCAGCTAGCGCGCAGTTGGCGGTGGTTGCGTAACCACCAAGTTTCGCTGCAGTACCTTGTTTCGCTTTTCCCTGGGCCACATGCGATCGCACGTCAAGGCCCCCCTGTACTTCACATTTTGAATTCGTGACAGCTTTTGTGGAGATGATATTTGAGACTGGAGGGAGCACAATACATCTACTAGCCGATGCGCATTGCACCACATTCAGCCTTATCGTGCGTGGATCTGATGATGACACACTTTGAACAGCATGTATATGATATTCTGGTCCTGGAGCCATTTGCAGCTTGTGACCATAACCATCCTAAATCTACCGTTGTCGTGCAATCACAGGAGCCATCCTACAACTACTGGAAGACTGACGTCGATGGTCTAACTGGAGCCGCTAGTCAAGTGGACTGGTCGCTGCCACAGCATTCTTCTGTGGAGTCTGTTGGTCTGTTACAAAAGAGGATGTAAAATCATTGTGCACTCCATTCCTACCCTTCAAGTATCGGACATTTGTGTCAACGAAGCCACATTGGTTTAACAAGGAGTATGGTCAGCTGGCTTGACAGCCACGCGCACAATGGCAAAACTCCGCCAGTCTGGTTCTGTCCATGATTACGGAGTGTACCAGAGACAGCGGGATTTATGCAACAGCGCGAAAGCACACATGCCTTATGTAGTTCGAGGTGCAGCTTGTAACTGCAGCGCGTGCAGGTGATCTAGCGGTGTTAGAGGGTTCAGCATCTAATTGAAGCACTGAGCGTGCATTCGCATTGGCTTCGCACTTCGGTTCCGTATTAGCAAATGTCCATGCGTCTGTACCGATTTTGACGGGTGCAACCACAACCGAACTCGACAGCGTGGATTCCAGTGTATAAGATTTACGCAATCTACTCGCCAGTCCTGACGGTACGAAGCCTGCCTGTCCTGAGGAGCTCCACTCGCTGATTTTCAAGCCGCTGTCATCTCATCGTCCGTGACTGATCTGTTCAACAGATCGCTGTCCAAAGATTCTTTTGCTAGTGATTGGATATGCTTTATAATGAAACCAATTCTGAAAGACTGATCTAGTTAAAGTGGACAATTACCGGTCGATTTGTCTGATCTTCTTTTTAGCCAAGATACTCGAGGTGATCATGAAACAAGGTCTGCTGCAGCTGTTGGAGTTGAAAGACCTGACGTCAGCACAGAATACTTTCTTGAGTGGCCGCTCATGCACCACCAACTTGCTAGTGACGTATCGTGGATGGTTGCAAACGCTGAACCGGGGGAACCCAATCGGCGTGCTCAACGTTGATTTCACTAAAGCGTTCTACAACCTGAACGACGAAGACCGTCGGATCATAATCTGCGGTGTTGGTAGCTCACTGCACCAGTGGATCAGTGACTATTATTGGGCAAAAGTGGGCAGTACAGGTGGGATAACCTTCTAGCTGACTGGTTTCCTTCCACTAGTGGCGCACCCTAAGACACAATAATGGGTCCCGTTTTATTTCTGACCCATATCAAAGAAGTACCTCAGTTTGCGGACTACCTGAAGATATGAAGAATAATCGATGGTTCCAAAGATTGCGATTTACCTCAGCACGACCTCGACCGTCTGCGCATATGGCGTGCAGATCTAGATCTGCCAATCAACCCGGCCAACTCTTAATTTATAAGCATTAGGAATCGTGGTGATGGGCGTATTTACACTCTTTCCGGCCATCCGTTGCATCCCGCATCTTCCGTGAAGTATCTCGGCGTACTGTTACGCTGCAAATTTAACTCCGTTGACAACACGAACCGGGTATATCGAAACGTATTGCGCATGCTACGGGCACTCAAACGCACCTTCCCTAAATCCGAAAAGTCTGTCACTCGTCTCTTCTCCCATCGTAAGACCCTTGCTCAAGTTCGGATCACCAGTTCCTTGTCCGCTCACTTTTGACGAGCTACAGAGACTGGAACTTGTCCAACATATACCTATCAGACTCATCCCAGTTTACCTGGTAAGTCGTATGAAGACCGATGGAAGAGACTGGGGTTGTACTCCCCATCGTATCTTCAGTTTCGAGTTGCTGTCAGAATTTATATATATATATATATATATATATATATATATATATATATATATATGCCCTATACTGAGGTTAATGTTGCATTCATGATGCTTATTCACCACAGTTAGGCTAAACCAACATAAACTTGGTGTTATAATCTTCTCACTGGACCCGATTCCGAAGTTGGCACTTTACTGCTTCACAAAACTTCTAGCCTAACCGAAGGAAAAAGCAGAACATCAATGACTTTGACAACTTAACATATTAACCGCCGTCGACAAACACTGTACAACTACCGCGGACCTTGGCTGTAGTTATAGGTCTCTTACTGACCTTCGACTTCTGGAATTGGAAGGTCAACTACCAAAGTTAGCGGTTCCCCATAGCTTTGGCCGAGATATCAGGTGGTTGGTAGTCACGTGCAGAACTTAGAACATTCAAGAACGTTCGAACTCGACGCGATAATCGTTAATATACGATTAATCGCCAAA